TATTGTGTTGCTAATAATTAAGGAAACCTCGAATTAATGTAATTTTAAGAGTTATGTTTACTTAACTCTTTTCTTCATTAGCTTTATTTGGCAATACTATATTAGTAGAGATATCCCATTTTGTCAGATCATCAAAAACAATATTATAAATGCTGGGAGAGAAGAATGTGAATTGTGGGATATGTAGACTTATCCCTTTTTTCCTTTTTGCCACAGAATTATAAAATTTCAACTTTTTTGTTAAATTTATCTTCTGTTTAACTCACCATGTTTTACCGTATAGTATAGTTTATCGTATTTCTCTTTGAGAAATAACAAAGCATCAATTTAAGGAAAAGTTCAGAAACAAGTTTTAATGAACTGAATTCCTGGGACAACGATAAACAGAAATCCTAATAGAAGTAATCTCTAACGGAATTACAAAATACATCTTAACTCTGGAAGCAAACGGATCTCAGAATCCGTTTTATTACATAAGCTTATTTTCTTGCTTGAATGCATATCGGCTATAAGATTAATTTTTAATATGGTCCGTAACTCGCTATTACGGAATCCGGCGAGAGATTTTTATGACAGTTGGGAGTTTCAGACTCATTTTCAGGATTCCATGTAATCTTCTAAACGTGTTTAAATCAGATTTAAAGATTTTGTATTCCTAATCCGAGAAAATAGTAGTTACACTGCTCAAATTCTTAAATTTGTATGTTCAAATAATTTCAAAACATAACTTATACGAACACGGCAAAAAACTAAGAGAGCAGAAAAATTTCCAAATTTCTTTAGTTATTTTTGGAAGGCTGTAACCGTGAATAATCGTATAGAGAAAAAAAGCATCTTGAAGCTTGAAGATTCTAGGTTTGAAATTTTGAAATGAAAATTTTTTTTGAGCATTACTCTCGGCGCAATCAAAAGAAATAATGCAAGACAAACATTTTATAATTTTTTTTTCAAAATTGCTCATGGCTTCAAAAAAATATTTTTTCGTACTTAATCAATGCCAGGGTTATTTAGCCTCATTCCTCAGCTTCGATTTGTTTTTTTTTCTATACGATTTTTTTCATGGAGGTATCAGCTATTGAGTGAAAAGTCACTTCTCATGAACTAATCATACATCGAACGGAAGGTGGGTTTTGGAAACTTGAATCTATCCTCTTCAACTCTTCAAGAGCATTTTTGGTATGTTTGACATTTTTTTTTATTTTCACAATCAGTATTAATTTGAAAAAGTGAAAAAAATACTGTTTCTGCTGTTTTTTGGAAAACAACAACTGCATTGCAATAATTGCGAAAAGTACCAACGTTTGCGGTTTTTTTTTAGCTCAATACATGCCCATGCATGAGGCCTGTAAATTTTGAAATCGATGGGTCGAACCGTTTTTCTTTCCTGAATCGTCAATTTTATAAAAAATTAAGGAACCAGGTTTATTGCCCCTTACACATCAATTAATCATGATTAAGACAAAAAAAATTAGCTTGTGTTATTTTTCTCACAATTTCGCGTTAACTACTAATCAAATATCGAAAAAAAATGTTTTAATTTAAAAAAATTCAGTTTTGAAAGAAAAATTAAATTTTTCAGTTTATTTGCGTTATCTTTTTTACAATTTCACATTGAATATTTCAAATGTAAAAAAATTACACGCATCATTATACACATAAAAATGACAGTTCCTTAGTTAAATATTATATAGGGCAGGTGTATAACAATATTTCAGTAGACGATTCCTCATCATTTTAAGAGGAAAAGTTCATATAAATGTTTGTAAGAAATTGTTTAATTTTCGTTAATTTATTTGAAAAATATAGTAAATATTTGATGTGAATTATTGAAATTTAGTTAGTAATTTAATCAAGTATCAACCATTGCAGAATTTCGATGCTACTGGGAATTTTAGAATCAAAGAAAAATATATTTATATATTGCAGCATTTAAAATTTTCTTAGTGCTACTGCTTTTAAAAAAATATCTATGCCAATTTTTTTTAGCCATTTGATGATGCCATATTTCAAATCGCGTTTATATAAAAATATTCATTGGCGTTCTTAGTAGCAGTGTTTCCCAATAACTCCATCTTTATCTTACATATTCGCATACAAGCTCAGGGATTTTTTTCTTTTATTTTCTTAAATAATCAGTCCAAGTTTGATAAAACTATGTCTACTCCCTGTCTTTAATTATTACAGAGAATCGTATAAAACAGATAATTATTGGAAAACTTATCTAGTAGAGCTTAGTTTTTTTAAATACAAAAAAAATATATGAAATTTTCGATATATATATTTACTATTTTACTATAAAAAATATAAATTTTGTAAATTTACCAATTGTGTGGTGAAATTTGGATTGAAAATTTAATTTTATCAGAAATCACGTACAATGTAACGTCCTCTATGTCAGGCATAGGCATTGCCAAGGCCAGGATACTGATATAACTCGGTAAAATAATGTTACCCTAAGGATAGTCTTTTTCAACGGGCGTCGAATGAGATAGATACCCGGATAAATATTTATTGATCTCATCAATTTCTTCTTATTAACTTCCGCAACCACTTCGATCTTTCTCGTTGTTACAAGGTTTTCCCAACTTATATTTTTCTCATTTATGATTTGCTTGAATGTATTTTCTGTTTTCAAATACATATTTACATTTTTTTTCTCTTGCAGCTTATTTGATTCTTAAATATTATCTGTTATTGGTATTTAGACTGTTCTTTGAAAATAAGAGGGAAGATGTTTCGACTTTCAAAAATCCAAACTGGGGGAGGAACAAAAAAGTGGTTCAAAATTTTGTATGAAAAAAAAATCTAAATCCCAATAATATGCAATAGATAATTTGTATCTTTTTACATTCTATTACAAATCATAAATTAAGCAACGATTTGTCAAGATCAAAATTCTTACGAAATTGAATTTAATAATATGCCCATTATAATGCCGACCTTTAAACTATGGTACCTACAATTTTAAAACAAATGTTATGTTTTTTATGACAACACTTGCTACGTACACAAATCTAAAATCCGCGAACAACAGCTGGTTATTTGCTGCGATGATATATGGTAATATTTGTTGCACTATTTAGTTCCACATTTTTGTTTTATTATTCTGTATTTCTTTACAATCTGAAATTTGTCATATAAGAAGTTTAGATTTCAAACTAAATTTAGATACCATGTTTCCAAATGAAATAAATAATCAATAATTCATGTACATAACTTCTATACGTGTATATACAATCCGTTATAGATGTCTTTTGTTAATAAATTTGCTGTAGAGAAATTTTTCAAACTAATGTCTCTGAAATATGATAGTGATCTATCTTAGCTTAATAGTATTTTTTTGTACGTAATATGAACCTCCAATAAGCATCCTTTTTAGCAGATATTTTACGACAAAAATTATATCTGTTATTTATGGGATCAATGACTCTGTGGAAATACTGTTGTGACTCAAATGAACATTATTGAATATTATTGAAAAGCAGATATATATGAAAGTATGTGTGTATGTATATATTAGACTAGGCCAAAAAATTGACTATTTTTTATTTTGAAAGATATCGAGAATATCATTCAGAATGACAAAAAATGTTAAAAAGTCAAATCGAAAAAACATATCAATTTTCAAGGCTTGATTACATGGAAACGGCTTGTCTACCGAAAATTTTCAATCAGACGTTTTTTGTAGGGAATTCAATTTCCTCAAAAATATATGTAGATAATTTTTTTTACCTCGATGGTTTGGCAGTTTTGACGCAAAAATGGGATCAGGAATAAAAAATCTAAACTAGCAATGGTATACCTCTTAAAACTAATATTAAGGGCTCAAATTCTCACGATATTTTTTTTTCGTCATTTTGAATGATATTCTAGATATATCTTTAAAAAAAAATTGTCGATTTTTTTGGCCCAGTCTAATGTAGGTATATATGAATTGCTATTTTCCAGTTCTGTTTTTTTTTTAATTCTGTTTGTGTGAGAGTGACGTGGTGATAAATTTCCAGGATTAAGACAAGAATAATATAAGAGTAATCTTTTTTTTCTAAAAAGTTTCCTTCAAAAATTGGTATTGACAATTTGATCAAAAGCCACTGAAGATATAAACGTAAAAAGTGGTATAAAGAAGTTTTCTCAAGAGGATATATACTTGTATTTTCAAAGGAAAAAATTGTCGGTGGTATGGGGAATGATGAAGTCTCTCGACTATCAAAAAAATATTTTTCCTTTATAGCTTGTATAGACCATTTTCAATTAATAGGAATTTTTGTGCCGCTTTAGTTTTGCAAAAATTTGAATGTATGGTAGTCACAGTCAAGATTTAAACTTTCTATAATTACATACAGTTGGGAAATTAAAGCAAAATAATTTACTTTTATTTGTAATTCGGTGCTAAAGAACTCAACCAACATCGTTATTGTTTTTAAACTTTTGTTTGTGAAGTTTCAAATTTATGTTTTCAATATCGATTATTTTTTATTTCTCTCGTTCAACATTTGAGGAATAGTAAAACTCTTAGGAAATATTTTTTGAGAAAATGTTACTTTTAGGTAGTCTTGAAAGTTTGTCGCAATCTTGCTCTTATATTCAGTTATTTGAGTGTTCTATTTTTCTACAAATTCTTTTTATGTTAATGATAAAAAATTGATATTTGAAAATAGTAACCAGTTTGTTTGTCATAATTACATTTTAAATTTTATTTGTAAGGATACAATTTGATATCTATTCTAATTAAAAATATTTTAATAATTAAATATTTTTTTCTCAAAACTCTGAAGTATCTGTCTACTTCAATCGAAAGAAAGTTAAAAACCATAAAATGAATTTGCGAAATTGTATGTAAATTTAATTTTTTACGTATCTAATAGAAAGAACAGAAACAACATTCTAGAATATTTACTTTGTCGGCGTAAAAAAATTGGGTTGGACGAAAATATAAACCCAGACGGCAAAATTCGTGCTAGAAGCTGTGATTTTATTAAAGGACAGGAAGGAATACTTACCTTTCTCCAACGGCGCTCTCTTATATTTCTCTAGTCTCTTGACGGCTATTGCCTCCAAACGAACTCTAGCCGCAGGATATTCCTTCAGGACGTCCCACATGTCCTTTTTGCTCAATACAAACAAATCGCTGTAACCAACGGATCGTACACTGGCTGTCCTTCGATTACCTGTAATTTCATTTAAAATTCCTTTAAGCTTTTATCTGGTTCTACTACATTAACTCAACTGCGAGTCCAAGAAAAAAGATAATATATTGAAAACATGCCAACAATGTGTCTACTTCGTTTTTGTTTTGTTGCTCGGGGGACGCATATTAACACGAAAGACGAGTAAAAAGGGAGCGGATTCGACAAACACAAAGCTAGACATCGTGTCGATTTTACAGAAAATGCATATGTCAAACACAAGATAGGGCGTTTTTTAAATTATAGGTTTCCGTACACCATAAATTAACAGTAAGTTAAACAAGCAAATTTATCATAAAATATTTTTTTGAAACCTCAAATATAACTAACAGCTTAATTTAGATAAATCCAGATGTGTATAAATATATTGTGTTAATGAACTTATGTCAAAAATTTAAAGGGGTGAAAAAGGAACAAAAACTGAGTTAACTGATGGCACAAACTTGTATCTGACTTTCATATAGAAAAAAGCTAATTAAAAATGCGTTTAAAACTGTTTTGGAACTGCTGAAATACATATATTTTATAACAGCGAGTACTTATAGGCCAGTCATTATAGCTTTTTTCGGGGAAAAAATACTATTAGAAGTTTCTCTGCGGAATATTGTTTAGAAACAAAAAATGTTAATATTTATTAAATTGTTAAGCGCGCATGCTCCGCCTTGCTCTCCCCACTCGTTCGCTAGACCAAGTAATAGAACGCATCGCCGCTATCTTCTTTTTCGCAATTAAATAGTTCAATTCACCTTAACGTTAATGTAGGACATGAAAATATAGCTCTTAATGTATACTCTCCCCAAATTTCGGGTCTTAATATTATTAATTAAGGTCACTGCTATTAAATAAAAAAAAAATATCCCAGCTTCTAATCAACTTACAACAACGATTTTTTTTAAATTCGAAGAAAACTAAAGTATGAAGGTTTATAATAATTACCTATCTTAACAATTTAATANGTGCTGAGATTGAACATCGCGTTATCCGCTATAAATTTTCATAATTAGTAATTTTCTATATTCACGCTTGAGGGAAAAATAGTATATGTCACTCGGAGTGGAAGGCTCATTATGAGCTTTGCCCAATTAGCTCAGCCTCGGCTAACGCCTCGGCGAGCAAACTTTTGGGCTCAACACATAATGATCGCCTTCTACTCCTAGTAACATAATATACTATTATGAGTTTGTAGGTATCTTATGAAGCCGGACTATATTCGAAAGTCAGTTTGAAATACATTGTTATAGTGATTGCTATGCTGTTTTTCGAGAGTACACACATAGCCGTATTTCCAAGTTTTCTTTTGAAAATGACGCATTTATTTAGCAATCGCGAATATTATGATATGCTCATAATTTATAGCGAAGCAAATGAAAATGCCCACAGAGCTTTACTGTACAAGATATCCTAAATGACGGCGACGTGCCCCCGCATGAAAATCAGCAGTTCTCAAAATGTGGCTCCTTGCAATGTTGAGGTAAGTCATATTTTAAAAGTACATTTTACACAACACAGATCCGTGTATTTACCTCATTTTGACATAACGGACATGTGGCAAAAATATTTGACATAAGTTCATTAACACCCTGTATATTCAAAACTACAACTATAATGGATTTGTTCGTACAACTTATTACTCGGCGTATCCAGGGCGTTTTGTTTTGACTGATTTAATTTCTTTATTTTTTGTTTGACTAAACTTTTTTTCTCAGTCAGAAATTTTATATTTATATGATTTTTTACAGGGATGTTTTCGATTTATTTGAGATGACATTTCCGTTATATTGGAGATGTGGAAAAAGTGCAACTTGAAAAATGTGTTTATTTTATTGAGTTCTGCATCAATTAAAAGGAAAACTGCAATTTGAAAAACACCCTTATATTATTACATATTTAAGACAGACTAATTCTATTGGCTTCGACTGTATTTAAAAAAGTAAACTACACGTCTTTATTATAAAAAACAGACAAAGGGGCTTGTAGAATAATTTGTTATTCGATGTATAGGATGTCAAAAAAAAATAGCAAACCTCAGGGATCATTAGTATTATTATAAGTACCTACTTATTTGCCAAAATAAGAAAAAATACGGGCTGTTGTACAAAATGTAGTGTGTCAAAAAATAGTGTAACAAACTTCAGGAACCAATACTTGTTAAAACATGAAAAGAGCCTATATGAACGTACCCCCTAAAATCCGTTAGGAGAATTACACCTATTTAAAAATTAAATTAAAAAAATGTTTTAAATTCGTTGGTATTCTTATAAACTAAAATTTAGCCTAATCTGTTTAATGAAAATGTAGATCGTATTTAATTTTAACTAGCAGCAAATAGTGTGTTAAAAGAAGTATCTCATTTAGAACATCAAGTTTGCAGTTTTTTAAAGTAATAGAAAACATAAATGTACCTTCAAATTGTGTGAATAAAATTTTTAAAATTTTAACCTGGCAAAGAGATAAATTGCGTTGAAAATATTGCTTGTAACTCCAAATTTCAAATTTGTAAGTCAGTAAGGAACCAAATAAGTTAGCGTCTATAAAACCTCGTCATTTTGAAATAACTTATTCTTTTTAAACAGATAGCGTCAGGTCGCAAAAGTCGATTTTTTTGCGTCCACTAGGGAATATTGTTTTTGCCGGACGATTTTTATTTGGCAAGACTTTATACGCCTTTCATTTAAGCCTCTTTTTTATTACCTACCTACTATTTTTCGTCAACTTTTCATAAAACTAATTTTTATTGTCGACTTGTTTAATATACCCAGTACACCAAAACAAGTCAATACCAAATAAAAAAAAAAATTGTAGGTTAATTTTAGATCCACAGGGTGATTCACAAATGGTGACCAAAAATGGAACCTCGTATTCTTTGGTGAATTTCCTATAAAGTTTTTATCTAGGACGCTTCCGTTAAAAAGATACAGGGTGTTAAACTTCAAAAAATATTTTTAATTTTTTTAAATAATTTAAAAACTAGTAGGTAAGTGAAATTATTTGAATTTGGGCACACGTATTTATGTAAACATTGTCCAAAATCTGAGGCCTTTTTCTAAAATTTAGATGCTTCAGTGGCGGAGAACAGGGTATCGGCTTTTCTAAATAAAATAGTACGCCACTGCTTTATGGTAACAACCATGATATTTTCGGATTCGTCTTTCAATTTTCTACAAATTACTACTCGCTTATGTTTTTCGAAAAAAGCCTGATTTTCGAGTAAAACTTAAAAAACAAATTGAAAACATCGGACCTCAGCCTATTGGATTTCTTTTTGAGTACTGTTAAGCGACTGGTATACAGTGAAGAAATTAATACACTTCAGCAGTTAATAATGCTTTTCATCAGATTCAAGCAACAATCAATTTCGAACAAATTACACTTTCGTTATTAAAAAGATGTCGCGCCTGTGTTCGTGCAAATGGAGGTGTCAATACACGGTGTCAAAACTTTAATTTTTTTTTAGTTTTTCGCCAATATCTTAGGAATGGTTTGAACTACACGACTGAGCTTTTGTACACACATTACCACTATTAATAGCTACTTTTTCGCACCCTTCTCGAATTCATTGGACGTGCCAGTGGTGGAGATTTTAAGGTATCGTAAGGGTTTCCCCCCCCCTAAATTTCACGCCACTGGAAAAATTGACTTTTGACAGCAAATTCTAAAGCGCCAATGAATTTTACACAATAAGAGTTCTCTTGGTTCATTGCTCTAAAGTCAACCGTTTTCAAGAAAAATGACTTTTTATGAACAAAAGCAAACATTTTGCTAACGTTTCGAAAATCTTTTGTAATTCAAAAAATAGGTAGTAATAATTAACAATTTTAACGAAATTTAACAACAGATAGGATTTTAACTTTTTTTTATCAATTTGGCGAGTAAAATTTACAGAAACTGTTCAAAATTACGTCCGTTGGCTTGAATGCACGCATTACATCTTCTAATCATGTTTCTTTCTGCCGCTGCGGCTTCACCTCTATCGGTCAACTTTTCGATAGTATTGACATGGAACGTTAGCAAAAATGTTTGCTTTTGTTCATAAAAAGTCATTTTTCTTGAAAACGGTTGACTTTAGAGCAATGAACCAAGAGAACTTTTATTGTGTAAAATTCATTGGCGTTTTAGAATTTGCTGTCAAAAGTCAATTTTTCCAGTGGCGTAAAATTTAGGGGGGGGGAACCCTTAAGATACCTTAAAATCTCCACCACTGGCACGTCCAATGAATTCGAGAAGGGTGCGAAAAAGTAGCTATTAATAGTGGTAATGTGTGTACAAAAGCTCAGTCCTGTAGTTCAAACGATTCCTAAGATATTGGCGAAAAACTAAAATAAAAATTAAAGTTTTGACACCGTGTATCTCGAAAACGAAAGCCCGGAGAGAAAAATGGAAGAGGAAAAAATTTTTTCTTTTTTCAAGAGGAATTTACTGTTTTCCGTTACGACACTTATTTAGGAACACCCTGTATATATATATATTTTCCCCAATTTCAAATTATTTCACCCACTAGTTTTTAAATTATTTAAAAAAATTAAAAATATTTTTTGAAGTTTAACATCCTGTATTTTTTAACGAAGCATCCTAAATAAAATTTTTTAGGAACGATTCCCTTTAAAATTCACCAAAGAATACGAGGATTCATTTTTGGTCACCATTTGTGAATCACTGTATTTATAACATAAAAATATATTGTCTTGAACTTTGCAATAGGAAATTTAGATGCCGAATTCTTATTAGCATGGGACCAAATATTTTTCATCCAACATCGAGACGTCTTCGTTTAATGTACCGCGGACAGCAAAACGTTTCTAATCTAAACTTTTTATGGCCAAGTTTATTACTTTCATTCTCCATTAAGCGGTCGGAAACCTTTTTTTGTCCACCGCTGTATCAGTAACTATAATGAATCAAAGCTTAATAAGAATGGCCTTAATTAACGCAGATACTTTGATTACTTATTTTATGAAGGGGGTTTAAATCTGTGCCAGATTTCT